ATTGGAACTTGTGCAATACATACAATTCATAATAGTTTCTGCAAGGGGTTAGCAGAGTTTGAAAATGTTAATGAAATTGTCATCAAGTTGTATTATTATTTTCATGGTAAGTAAAGTTAAATATTTTGTAGAAAATATTGAGTAAGAAGATGATTTCTAGGCTGGCCTACAAGATTAGAGGATTTTGAAAATATACAAAAGAAATTTAAAATATTCCCTAAAAGATTTCTTAAACATATAAAAAACAGATGGCTAATTATTGGTCCAGCAATATCTCGAATACTTGAAATGTGGAATGTCCTAGAAGAATATTTTTTTCGATATATTCCAAAAAAGCATCAAAGCACAACAGATAGTACGAGTTACAGAGATATCGTAAAGTTATTAAAACAACCCACTATGAAAGCAGAATTGCAATTTACACAGTTGTTTGTTTGCAAATATTTCACCAGTTTTACTCTAGTGCAGTGGTTCGCAAACTGGGTGCCGCGGCACACTAGGGTGCCGCGGATCCCCCAAGAGGGTGCCGCGAAAATTTTATAATGATGTTTATAAATATAAGCACAGAACCAACTTTAAAAAATAATAATTGATGATCTGATTTTATTAATATGGTACAACTGTTCAGTAATGGAAAATGTGTTCTGAACATGTTAATTTTCTTCATACTGAAGTAAGATGGCTAACAAATATTTATAAAATAATCTTAACATCAATTACATATTATACAAACATGTGATAAAGTGTTTTTGATAATAAATTAGTTACAATTAAAACTGTTCTTGGTGGGGTGCCGCCAAATTTTGTTTAAAATTTTAGGGTGTCATCAATAATAAAAGTTTGCAAACCACTGCTCTAGTATTTAAAAAGCAACAGCCATCGGTCCACGTCTTGCGGGATGAAATTAAAAATCTAATAGTATCACTTTTAATGAACTTTTGCAAGCAAGATGTTACCGTTACTTTCAATAATTTTGATATCAACGAATTTTTTGTACGCCAAACCTATTTACCTTTCACAGAGATTATTTGTGGATCTGATGCTCAAGATGAAATTTCTAAGTTATCCGAGAAATATCGTCTCTTGCTTTTAAAACAGATTTAGAAATTCTATATAAATTCCAGCAAATATTTGATCCAAAAATCTCTAATTCAGATACAAGAGTTAAAATATTTTAGTTGTTTAAATGTTGCCAATATTACTCATCATAGGGAAGTCTATAACTTGTCCAAGTTGACAAAATTTATAAATATTGCAAAAATTGATACTGATATGCTAATTACCGAATACAAGTTGTTACAGTCAAAAACATGTTTTCGAGAAGTTTTAAACCAAAAACCGCAACGTGTTGATCACGTTTGGTTTAAAGTTTTTGATTTAAAAAAATCATTATTAACATTACCAAAGTATCCAGAACTGAAAAAGTTTGTTAATGCTGTCTTGTCAATTCCCCATGGCAGCGCTGATATAGAAAGAGGTTTTTCTCAATCAGCATTAGTATTAACAGATGATAAATGTCGTATGTCTGAAAAAATGTAAATGCCCGATTAAATATAAAAAGTGGCATGGTGGCTTACTCAAATAAACCTTATTTGTTTCCTATAGATAAAAGACTTATATCAATGGCATGTAATGCATATCGTTCATACATAACTTATTTAGAAGAAAGCCGAAAAGTTGAAGAGAAGAAAAGAAGAGATGACGAAGAACAACAAAAATTGAAGTTTGAACCGAGGGAATTGGAACCAAAAAAAAATCAAATAAAAGCGAAACAAAAAACTGTGTGCTGAAGACAATAAACTACTGGCTGATGCCTTGAAAGCAAAAGACCTAACTAGTGCGGCTGTAGGACCAACGATTTTATAGAGCACAAGCGAATACCGTCTAAAAGAGGAAAGTCTTAAAAATGAATGTTGTAAAATAGAAAAGTCCATCTAAAAAAAGAAAGAGTGATTTAATTAGTTTTTTAAACAAAAGAAGAAAACTTGATTAGAATTAATATTTACAATAATTTATAATATGTTCTCACTTTCCAGAGTTTAATGTTTATTTTATTATATTTTTATACATATTTAATAATTAAAATTGCACGAAAAGTCGTCCCTTTTCTTTACCTTTTAGCGCTAAGAAATAGCTATTTTAGCTACTTTTGACATTCACAACTGCTCTGAAACCTGATGTGAGCAAATTCATCGACAGAGTCTAGCCACTCTTCGATATTATGACAACATGGGTTAAATTCTCTAAGCACTAACTTATAATCTTTTGTCAGGTCTTTATTCCACTTCTGATATTACCTTATGTTTCTCTAAAACACAGCGTCACAACAAATTATTAAATCCCCGCTCCTTTTTTACAACGTATCCCGTACAATCTCAGATATTGAATGACGCATCCACCAGTCAATGCTAGTTTCCTTGCACGCCTCCTGACCTCGCCCCGCTTCCAACCACACGATGCTCAACTCAAGCTCAGCTTTGAGTCGCGACATCCATCACAAGCGGCGCTAACATATCCGTGCAAATTTAATCTAACAATAATGGTACAATAAAATTACCCATTTAACTTAAAAAAATTGGTCTAAAGGGTTCAGACAGTACTTCCCTCTAGTCGGAAACGTGACGACTGCATGATTATTTTGTTTTTTTTTAGCATTACATTTTTGTAGTGGGGCATTTTAAAATAAATTGAGTATTAATTTTTTCGATTTTGTCATTATTTGGCGTTGACATCTTTGTAATTTTTTTTGCGATGATTGCTTATTAAATTGGTCGAAGTGTATAATATGTAGCCTATGCAAACATTGTCAGGCGTGAACAGATAACAGGCACACAGTTATAGTACTTGTAATTTAAGACAAATACGTCTGCAAAATTTCAAAGTATCCAGTTTTGCAATTCTTGATTTAATCAATAAAATAATTGATTAAGTAATTCTTTTTTCAGACACCCCGTATAAGCACATCTAAAAAATATTAATGCAGTGATAAATCACCAGTATAGACTCATCATTCTTTACACATTTAAGATAGCATTTTTAGGGGGGATAAGCAAATACATTTTGATCAAAATTTTACCATGCTTATAAATTTAAAACATTTCCAAGATTTCAATGCATTCGGTTTACTAGTTCCTGATTAAATCAATAGAATAAATTTACGCATTCATTATTGTTTTTGAGTCACCTGTATATGCAAATCAAAAAAATATGAATGGAATGATAAATCACAACTACAGACTCATCATATTTTGCACATTTAAGATAGCATTTATTCACCAAAATTTTGAGGCGACATCATCAATTTTTTAGGGGGGAGGAGCAAATACATTTTGACTAAAAATTTACCATGCCTATGATAACTTTAAAATATCTCCAAGATTTCAAGGCATTCAGTTTTGTAGTTCTTGATTAAATCAATAAAATACATTCACGCATTCATTATTGTTTTTGAGTCACCCTGTATCTGCAAATCCAAAAAATATGATTGGAATGATAAATCACAAGTACAAACTCATCATATTTTGTACATTTTAGATAGGATTTATTCGGCAAAATTTTGAGGTGACGTCATCAATTTTTTAGGGAGGATGAGCAATTACATTTTGACTAAAAATTTAATATGCCTATGATAACTTTAAAACATCTCCAAGATTTCAAAGCATTTGGTTTTGTAGTTCCTAATTAAATCAATAAAATAAATTCACGCATTCATTAATTTTGTTGAGTCACCCTGTATATGTGAATTCAAAAAATATGAATGGAATGATAAATCACAAGTACAGACTCATCAAATTTTGTACATTTTAGATAGGATTTACTCAGCAAAATTTTGGGGTGACGTCATCAATTTTTTAGGGGGGATGAGCAAATACATTTTGATCAAAAATTTACCATGCTTATGATAACTTTAAAATATTTCCAAGATTTGAAAGCATTTAGTTTTGTAGTTTCTGATTTAATCAATAAAATACATTGATGCATTCATTAATTTTTTTGAGTCACCCTGGATATGCTAATCCAAAAAATATGAATTGAAAGATTAATAACAAGTACAGACTCATCATATTTTGTACATTTTAGGTAGGATTTATTCGGGAAACTTTTGAGCTGACGTCATCAATTTTTTGGAGGGGATAAGTAAATATATTTTGATTAAAATTTTATCATGCTTATCATAACTATAAACCATCTGCAAGATTTCAAAGCACTCGGTTTTGTCGATTCCAAATTAAATGTCAAAATGTTGTTACCTAATTTTGATTTTTTTTCCAAAAATCTGGACGTTTCGGGTAAAAACTCAATTCGGAGTCATAAACTACATGTGTAGGACTATGTTATTTTATACAATTTAAAACCCATTTACTATGTACAATTTTGAAGTGACGTCATCGCATTAGTGGTGGAGATGATTAGACAAATTTTTGTTAGCGTTTTACCATCTACATGGTATTCCTAATATAAGTACAAAATTTCACAACACTTGGTCCAGTACTTTCGGAGATTATCTGTCTAATAAAAATCCGGGACGGCAGGCAGACGGACAGACCGACAGACAGACGGAAACGGGAGACCTATTTCTTCGTCCTCTAGGGGTCATGGAAGATCGTGAATACGTAAAAGTACAGAGTCGGCCGACGTACTCGATTACAATACTTCCTTTGCTTACGCTCGGGAAGTAATAAAATATAGAGATAATGAGACGACTAATTACACTTGTATCTCCATCACTTCTTTTATTCTTTTACTATCCAATTGGTTTTTCACAAATTCAAGTACCTATTTATTAAGCTGCTCATTTCAAGATATGTTACTCCCTGGACCCGTTTTATTTATTACTCATATTTTATCGCCCAATATGTTATTGAACATACAATTTGCATTTTCATACTGACCGAAATTGTAATATATTCAGTACTACCCTTTTAAATTACAGCCTGATTTTTCTAGCACATTATACATCTTATATACTCGTATACTTCATTCAGATAATTACCTTCCAGAATTTGTTCTAGATGTACCTTCAGCACAACCTCCAAACGAAGACGTCAAATCGAACTCCAGGAACAATTTTACTTTACTTGCACGTGCCGAGCTTGTAGTGAAAACTGGCCCGAAGAAGACGAAGAAAGCGATAGCAGAGAATTCAGCGAATCCTTTGATTTAGTAGAGATGGCTCTGTTAAGAAACGATCGAAGAGCGCTAGAAGATCTTGGGACAGCCTTTGCGCGCAAACTGAAATCCGTGGAAGTAACAGCCCCCACGAGGGGATTAACATGCCTAAGGAAGCTGGTCGTAGACTGCTACCAGGTCTACGAATCTCCTAGAAATATTACCAACGAATAAGTTCGCCTCTACGTTTTTTAAACGGTGATATTTTGGTTGCGTATTAATGTTTTTTTTCCATGTTTTTTTTTATTTTCGTTTTTTGCCCCCAAATATAAAGTATTATATATAAAATATATATATATATATATATATAGTATACTGTTTGTTTTCATGGATAATCTCTTATCCATCCAATTCCGGGAACACAACTACCATGGCCGCATATCTTGAAAACGGCTAGAAATTTTGAAATTCCATAAATGCCAATCGTATTTAGAATGGAATAGAATATGTTTATTGGTACTTTACATGAAAGGAAATGTTTGTACAAGTTAAAAGATAATACAACAACAATTTAACAATATTCGTACATTACATGAATAAAAATGTTTGTACAGGTGGTATGATAACAACTTAACAATAAACAATAAAGATAGTATAACCGAAACAGTGCAATGAAAGTTAACAATTTAAAACTTGAACGCAAAGACTTTTTTGGATTTGCATATACAGGGTGACTCAAAAAAATTAATGAATGCATAAATTTATTTTATTGATTTACTCAGGAACTACAAAACCGAATGCTTTGAAATCTTGCAGATGTTTTAAGGTTATAAAGAGCATAATAAATGTTTAGTCAAAATATATTTGCTTATCCCCTCCAAAAAATTGATGACGTCAGCTCGAAAGTTTGCCGAATAAATCCTATCTAAACTGTAAAAATATGATGAGTCTGTACTTGTAATTTATCACTCCATTCATATTCTTTGGATTTGCATATACAGGGCGACTCAAAAAAATTAATGAATGCGTAAATATATTTTATTGATTTAATTAGGAACTACAAAACCGAATGCTCTGAAATCTTGCAGATGTTTTAAGGTCATAAAGAGCATAATAAATGTTTAGTCAAAATATATTTGCTTATCCCCTCCAAAAACTTGATGACGTCAGCTCGAAAGTTTGCCGAATAAATCATATCTAAAATGTACAAAATATGATGAGTCTGTACTTGTCATTTATCACTCCATTCATAATAAATTTTTAGTCAAAATATATTTGGTTATCTTCTACAAAAAACTGATGACGTCAGCTCAAAAGTTTGCCGAATAAATCGTATCTAAAATGTACAAAATATGATGAGTCTGTACTTGTGATTTATCATTCCATTCATATTTTTGGATTTGCATATGCAGGGTGACTCAAAAAAATTAATGAAGGCGTGAATTTATTTTATCGATTTAATCAGGAATTACAAAACCGAATGCTTTGAAATCTTGGGAATATTTTAAAGTTATTATAAGCATGGTAAACTTTTGTTCAAAATGTATTTGTTCATCCCTCCTAAAAAAATTGATGACGTCACCCTTAAATTTTGCTGAATAAATCCTATCTCAAATGCAAAAAATATGATGAGTTTGTACTTGTGATTTATCATTCCATTCATATTTTTTAGATTTTCTTAAGAGGTGGTTCAAAAAAATTAATGAAGTCAATTTATTTTATTGATTAAATTAAAGGCAACACTTATTATTAGTATTACACCCCAACCAACCCAATTTGGTAGACACAAAATTTGTTAAAGGAAAAACTCGGTTGAAACATAAGGGTAGCACGCTTATTTACATCGACTTTAACATTACAGAGCTGCATTTGTTTTATGCGCTCACTTGGTTCCGCGAATGTGGAATAGATATGTTTATAATCAACCAATTGTGAATTTCACCGTCAAGAATTAAAATAAAACCCAATGTTTTATATAATAAGCGGAAGTCGAAGTAATAAAACCGATGGTCGTTTTGTTTACAGTTTCTCTGTTTGACTCTTACGTATGCTGTTACGCTTGTCATCTTAAATTAAGAATGTTTATACATAAACGATTTTCAGTTGCCTTTCATATTACTAGACAGCGGATTTTTGTCGGGCTACGTCACGATTATAGGTGGGGACGCGCTGGATCGCCGGGACTCAGTAGCGGGTGATAGCTAATCACTGAATTTAATCGGTACTAATTCCATAAATATAATTAACGATTTATTAATCAAACGGCTAAGTAAATGAGAACGGGAATTAACAGCAGAGTGCAACGAAACAGCGTTATTCTAATCTCAAATAAACGAAGTGCAGTCCGCAACCGCAATGAATTCGCATCCCGTACATACGAGCCGTACCGAGTTTGGCCTTGCCTAGCCCGACAGAAATCCGCTCTCTAGATATTACACACCGGCGCCGTATACGTGAGTAAATTGTTTCGTTATTTTATTGATTATAAGAAATCAATATTCAAAACGACCCAATTCATTTTCCCGAAAATTTGGGAATACAATAATTTTATTCTTAGTATTACACTACATCTATCCCAACTGATATACGTGTCCTTGCAAAAATGTTGATGACGTCATCACAATTTTTTTTTAAATTCCCACTACAAAAATGTAATGAGAAAAAAAAACACAATAGGCATGCAGTCGTCAAGTTTCTGACAGCGAGGGAAGTACTGTCTAAACTCTTTAGACCAATTTTTTATTCTTCCGCCAACTCTGATAATGTTATTTTGATCTAGAAATGGACTTAAACTTAACAGTTTACTTTTTTTACTAACCTCACCACCTTCTTTCAAGTCGCTAAATTCGTTACTAAAAGCTTGTTTTTGAACAAATCTGACGATTTTGATGCGCGCCTCATCGAAGTCTTGTGGATGTAATGATCTTTTGTTAAAATTATTTTTTGACGGCGAGGTAATGAATTCAATAAACCGAAAAAAATACGCTACACACTTAATGAGTCTATTGTAATTAGAGAAAGATTCAATTAACGTGAACGATCAATTATTATTTGTTATCGTTGTTGTTACTCTTTTACGTGTTTCGGGAACATCTTGTAGCATAACATCGAGTTGAAATTTACCTGGCCAATTGTTTGAGTTTTTTGTTAACCAATGTGGCCCGTGCCACCATAGAGTACATTTTGACAATTGTTCTGGGGACATGCCTCGTGAAACTATATCGGCGGGATTATCGACACCGTTAACAAGACGCCACTGGTCAATGTTGCAATTAGATTGTATTTGCGCTACTCGATTACCTACAAAAATTTGCCAGTGTGTAGCCGGTTTAGACAACCAATGTAAAACTATGGTCGAGTCCGTCCAAAAGAATTTAGCTGATATAGTGATGTCTAATATTTGAGAAATGCGAGTTGTTAAATCGGATAAAAGTACTGTCGCCATTAGCTCCAATCTTGGAATTGTCACTCTTTTGATTGGCGCGACGCGCGATTTTGAGGTCAATAATTGAATTTGAACATTTCCGTCAATGCCGACAGTTCGTAAATAGATAGCTGCACCGTAAGCCTTTTCGGAAGTGTCCGAAAATCCATGTAACTCTATATTAGTGACGTTTGGAGGTATTGTTTTGCGACTGATACGAATTTTATCCAGATGTGTTAAATCGTGAATGAGATTTAGCCATTCACCATGAATGTTTTGGGCAACCCTCTGATCCAGGCTTAAATTTGCCGACCAACATTGTTGTAATAGCAATTTTGCCTTTACTACAATGGGACTTATTAGACCCAAGGGGTCAAACACCTTTGAGATGGTTGACAAAATGTGTTTTTTGTTATGTTTGTAGAAGATGTGTTGGTGTTAATATTGAATTTATACCCTAATGTATCTTGACTAAAATTCCAATATAAACCTAGTGTTTTATTTGTGTCATGCTTGTCGAAATTAAAATTGTCGGTAAAGGTGCGATCAACTTCAGGTATTAAATTTATGTCATTAAATGCCCATTTTGTTAAATGAAAACCTCCTGAGCGTAAAATGTTGTCAATTTGTGATTGTAATTCCATGGCTTGTGGCAGGGAATCAGCACCTGATAGTAAGTCACCAACACAAAAATCTCGAATGATTTTGGCACTTGCATTTGGAAATGACTCCCGGTTTTCGTGTGCTAATTGTTGAAGTGATCGTATTGCTAAAAATGGGGCACTGGTGGTCCCATATGTGACTGTTGTCAAACGGTAGACTTGCATGGGATCTTCCCTGTTTTCACGCCAAAATATTCGGTGGTAATCGCGATCGGGTGTATTTAAATAAATTTGCCGATACATTTTAGCAATGTCAGCGTTGATAACGTATTGAAATGTTCTGAACCTAAGTGTTATGTCGAAAATGTCCTGCTGAATAACTGAACCCGCAAGTAAATTTTGATTTAAGGCCAAACCGTTGTCGGACTTCATGCTACCATCAAAAACTACCCGAATTTTTGTTCCCTTGAAGACCGAATGATGTGGTATGTAATATGTATTTGGATTATGTAATTGATCATTTGGAACCTTTTCCATGTGACCAAGTTCCTCGTATTCACGCATGAACTCAACGTATTTTCATTTTAAATTTGGATCCTTATTTAGTTTCTTTTCTAAACTGAGAAATCGTTTGCGAGCCATTTCGGAGGAAGACCCTAATTGCATGCAATTGTCTTTTATGGGCAGGGAAACCCAAAAACGACCGTTGGCGTCCCTTTTTGTGTTTGCCTTGAAATGTGATTCACAAATAATATCTTGCTGGACGGGTACTGGTTTATTAGTGTGATAATCCTCTGTTTCCCAAAATTTTGCTACCTGTTTAGATAAATTTTCGAGATCAGAATTTATGGTCACTGTATTGTTATTGCAGGAAGTATTATTAGAAGCTGGGAATTCCTTAGAAAATCCTACACTCAAAGGCCCCGACAAAATCCATCCGAGGGTGGTATTATGCAGATAAAGTAACGGTTTTAATAGGATTTTACCGGATGTTAATATATCCAAGAATAATTCCGAACCAATGAGTAAATCGATAGGACCGCTAATGTTAAATGTGGGGTCGGCTAGATTCAAGGTATTTGGAATACTTAATTGTTGAGCGGAGAATCAATTTAGGGGTAGTGGTTCTGTTATTGTTTCTAGAATTAAACAATTAATGTTGGCTGTATAGTCACTCAACCTTGTTTTTAAACTTACGCTTGTCATTTCTGTAACCTTGGATTCAGACTGATTGACAAAAGTTAGTTTGTGATTAGTGAAGCCTGTTTTTAGTCCTAGTTTCTTGG